ATCTGTGGTCCTTTTTGTACTTAGTCCTTTACTCCTTGTATAACCAGAGACCAGTAGAGCTTAAGCTGAAGCTCTGTTAAAAAAACTCCAATGTTGTGTTTTACTCACACTCAATCTTTCTTGCTTTCTCCAGTTTGCATCAGATATTTTTCCACAATTGGAGGTGGGAGGTATTCTTCATGTCCAATCTGTGCATATTCATAGAAATGGATTAACAGCTTCTCACAGATTTTGGTAAAGGCCTGTAATGGCATCATGGGAATGTTATCTAGTCATTACATTTAATCTGGGTACAGAGTATAATGTAAACGTATAGCAGAACATTTCATGTCCTATCTGAAGAGAAAGGATTGTCCATGTGCAGGGGCAACTATCCTTTCACACACAGTATTCAATTTCATGGAACAGGTAACCTGGGATTCTGAATCAGATCTCACTGAAACTTTTAGGACACAGCTCTAAACATATTCAATTGCACCGATTTCTAATTGATCTTGTTCTAGCATAACCCTGAAGTAATTGCACTGCTTGGCATAAAAGTAAGAGCCACTCACAGTTGGTTTTATGTAGGAAACTTTTTCAAAATTTTAATGTTTTTTTTTCACTTTTGGAAATGTGCTGTCATTGTCTCCTGATCAGTCTAGGCAAATCTGACTGTGTGGACAGAAGCAGCTGAATTTTGTTTCTTTCACTTCGTAATGAAGAGGATACTTTTTGTTCAGGCATTGGACATATGCCAAGTATTTTAAAATGTACTTTATTTCACAAATGAGTTTATAAAGAAGAATTAAGGTATTGTGAAGAAGGCTCTTAGCAGTTGTATTACTTCTAACATTTAATGCTTAGAATTAATAGAATTAGTCATTGAGTTATTGGCTTTGAATAAATTGATATTGGCTTATATCAAGTGATGTATCATATATCCACGGGATTCTTCATTTGCCTGTTTTTAAAAAATGTATAAAACATACTGAGAGCAGATTTGCTTTTATTATGCTAAGTATCTAGCCTTTATTTAACCGATTTCTTAATTTCAGATACTCGAAAACTTTTAGAGTTGTATTAGTGTTGATGTTATTTAGAATTATTTATTACTTAAAGCCAGTCTGTATGTGGATACTTTACAGTGGCATGTGTCAACATAGTATGATTTTCTTTTTTAAAAAGTCCTGAAACTGTTCACCTTGTATGACCGTTGGCTGTGAATACAGGTAGGCTGCTATAGTGTTTTTTATCTTGTCAGTGTTAGAGATGTTTTTAATTATAGAGACATAATTGCGGTGTTTTAAATATGTGTGCCTGTAAGACTTAAAGTGTTTTTACTCTTTGCAGTGTCTGATCTCTGTGTTGGGATGAGTTGGTATCTGATAGGAATATACAGGAAAAGCAGTACACTTTAAAAACCCCAAATATATTTTAAAAATAAAAATAATTTTAAAAAATAACCAAACATAAACTGGTGCTTTATTATCCTTGTTCTGAACACCACCCCTTGTAGTTTTCAGTAGCAAACGGGCATTTCTGCACAAACAGCTTGAAACAAGAAGATCCTGAGTTTGTACTTTGTTTTGATTTGGGGGTAGAGAGTGGGAGGTAAGTGGAAAGAAAGTGCTGTATTCCACAAAATACTTGAATCTTGTGCTGAGGGAATCTTTTCGTTTTTCAGTTCAGCATGTAACCCAAGTATAAGTTACCATTACAGATATGAATGCCTGCTGTCAAATGGCACAAAGTTGGAATTAGAAAGGGAATTGGAAGCCCTGGGTATTTTTTTTTTCTTGGTTGGACTATAAACCTGTTATATGACCTTGCGTGGATCACATTAACCCTGATTTTCCAAAGCATTTGCACTCCTGAACTGCATCTATAAGTTGGTCAGTTGCAATTTCCTATAAGGTGAGAATGGTGCCTTAATAGGGTGCAGACAGTTCACTAAGAGAAAGTGCTGTGAAATTCTCCAGTGAGAAACACTACAGCCAGCGAAAAGTATTATTAGCAATTAATATTATAAATTAGTAATAATAATATAGTTAGGTTTACCTTACTGTGAAGTGAGATAAATATAAGATGCTTAGAAGTATTTTTTACAATAGGCTGCAGCAGTTAAGGGTCTTTAGAATGTTGTTGCAATATTAAAATGATTTTTCAGCCAGGATATTTGCTCCTTTAGTCTAGTCTAAGTTTTTAGTAAAATAAACAAAATCCCAAGGTATTATTTACTTAACTAGTCCTTTCTGCAGCATGCATTTATTTCTGAACTTCATTTCTGCATACTAAGTATAATATCTGTTGATGTTTCTTATGTTACTAAGCAACAAAAACACTACTAAATAATAGGGAAAAAAATGTAATAAACCACTATAATTCTCATCATGTATCGTGGGGTTAATTTATGAGGAATAGTCTGAGACTCAAAGAGTGTGCAGTGCAGCAGTGTAAAACATATTGTTTTCATAATTAAAAGAGTTCATATATTCTAAAAATGTGCATTTAAATGCATAAAGGCAGAAAAACAGCATACAAATTATTCAAATTACATTCCAATTACATTTGATAAATCATCTTTAAAACCTTTATATTTATATAGCAATTATAACCTAACCACAGGATCTAACATCTTAGAGCTTCACCAAAATCAATCAAATATCTTAGGCAGAAGCTTGAATATTGTTCTGCAGGCACTGCTCCCAAAGACAGTTTTGATCTATTTAGGCACCAGTTTTATAGCACATTTTAAAATCTGTTATTTCTGGTCGTATTTCCTGGGTAAGGCTTTGTTCTAGCAAAGACCTGTAAAAAATTTCCACTATATAAAACAACTAATTTATTGCAAACTGATTAAACTTAACAATTGTTTTCAAAGCTGTTACTAATACTTTGGTTCATGGAAAATGCAGAATTTCTTCTGTTACTTGCTTTCTAATTGTGTTTTATAGAGACATACTGATCTCAGGTGGTAAGTTAAACTACAAATAGTCTTGCTGTAAATGTATCTATTCCTGTAATTGTCACAGCAATAATTTATTCCCTGCTCTTGAGAATTTTCAATAGAACTTCCATATGAAGTTCTTATTTAAAAAATTGTGACTTTTAAAATGAAACTTCCTTTCAGATTTGTAGATGAGAACAGTATTTCTTCCAGTCTCTGATTACAAAGCAAATTAGAACTCGGGCATTTCCAGAATCTAGTAAGTGTTTGCTTACACACTTTACCTGGTTGAAGCTGTGGTCTTTTGGAAGAAGCAGTTGACTTTCAGGTCTTGCGTGGACGTAACAGAGAATGTTTTCCACAGATTTACTCACTAAAGGTCATAGTTTATTTTTTAAATGGCAATTTTAAGTTAGTATTTGCTACCTGTCTGTGAGTTTAGAGCTCATTCAGGCTAAGAAGAGTAATTCCCTAGATATCCAAGGAGCTGGAATAGATTTTAATAAGATTTAGAAAATAGATTAAATGAATCTGCTACATTGGCTAGACTGTTATTATAAAAATGTTCTTATGTTAAATATGTAAGTTTGAAAAGTAAGCCTCAAAGTAAACAATTTTAAAATAAAAATACTGAGTGCTCCTCAGAGCCATGACAAATGGGAACTCACTGTTTTCTAAGGTTGTTTCTAAAAGGCAAAGTACTGTGACCAATATATTCAGAAAAAGAAAGAAACTGACAGTGAAACTAAATAGAAGGAGCTAAAGTAGTATTTCTGAGACTACTTTAAAATACGTGATTCAAATAGATTAAAAAACTGGTTATTGCTTTTAAAATTACTGCTGCTTCACTGTATGAAATAGCTGATTACTATGCTCTACATTAAAAGGAAAACAAAGATGTAGATCTGTAACTCTTAAAATGTTCTAATTGCTCAGAAATGGGATGAAGTCCAACAGTCCTGTGAGATTTTCAGACAGGAACAGGCAATCCAAGCATAGTGGTTCCAGTACATGTAGTTGCATTGATCTGATTTTGCTGATCACTGCCCTTTTGATGTCAGATCACTAGCAATCTGTTTCAAATACATACAAGAGCTACCCAAATGTAACATGTCAGTTACGGTGACATTTTTTTTTTACTTGCATGTACACTTGTCTAAACCTGCAAGCCTGAAGCCTGTTTTCAGTTTTTTGAGTTTTAACATACTCCACTTTCTTAAAATTATTGTATGCTACATGGATTACAAAACTAGAAAGTGTCCAGTTTCAACCAGACTTGCTTCCCTGCAAAAGATTTTAGGTGCTCAGAGAACATCTAGGTACCTCTTATAGGGAACTTTGGAGGAACTGCAGAATATTATCTGAAGATTTGATTTTGCCAAGATTTTTCTCAACATTTAAGGGACTATGTCTCACAGTACTTGGATAACTGCAAAGAATCCACCTAATTTGTTTTTTTCTATGCTGGTCCAACTGAGACACTTCACCCTTGCTTTGTCACAGTATTAGTTTTCTGTTCTAAAAGGTTCAGGTTCAGTTTTTTTGCCAATATCTGTACTTTGTCTTCTGTGTTTAAGTAAACAGAACTTTTGTGTATGATCCACAGCTCACTGGAAATGAAATGGATGCACCACCATCCAGTGACATTATTTAGATTAAGATATACTATTCCAGAAGGGAATTTGGGGACAGACATTGACATAAAAGAAATGCTCTGGAATTATGATTACTATTATGTTGGGTACAGTATATAAGGCAGGAGAGCTATTTGGTATATTTGGAAGAGGACTAGGGAAATCAAAGCAAGCAAATAATGGTCAGAAACTTAAAATCAGGTGAATTAGAGGAAATACAAGCTATTGAAGGGTTAGTATCTCTCATTGGTCACCTAAGGAAAAAAAAACAAAACCAAACCCACATGGTATTTTTTTTGTTCTGAAAGAAATTTGGGGGAAACAATTTCAGTATAGATTTTCTGTTGGGATCACAGATTTTGTGAATTGAATTACAAGTTGAATTTCAAACTGGTGATGGGTTTAGAAATACTGATTTGTTTTATTTTATTTTGTAGATGATCCAGAAACTTGCTGTGTGTTTACCACGGGTTCTGCCAGCCAACTCGGGAGGGGACTTACCTATTCTTTTATTAGTGAAGTATCCTATTATCTTGAACTAATTATTCCTCTCCACATGGCCTTTCTACTAGTGTCAGCTTATCTCCTGTTGGCTCATGCTCAGGGTGCTCCTGATGAGAACAGGGCACTGTTGGAAACACTGAAGTCACAAGTAGGATTATTCAGCAATAAAAGTGAACACTATTCGGCACAGGTGAGACCTCCTGGCACAAGCCGACAAATACCTCAGACAATCATCATAGGAGTTCGTAAAGGAGGAACAAGGGCTTTGCTGGAAATGTTGGATATTCATCCTAATATTGTGGTAGCAGCTACAGAAGTCCACTTCTTTGACTGGGATGAAAATTATGTGAAAGGAATAGACTGGTATAGAAGTCTGATGCCATTTTCTTATGGGAATCAAATTACAATTGAGAAAACACCAGGCTATTTTACATCACCAGAGGCTCCAGAAAGAATTCATGACATGAATAGCTCCATTAAACTGCTGCTCATCCTGAGAGATCCCACTGAGAGAGTTATATCTGACTATACCCAAGTATATTACAACAGAGTAGAAAGCCACAAGCCTGTTCAGCTCTTTGAAGATATTGTTATTAAGAATGGAGCACTTAATACCAAATACAAAGCTATTCAGAGAAGCCTATATGATGTTCATATGGAAAAGTGGCTTAAGCATTTCAGTTTGGATCAGATTCACATAGTGGATGGCAATACTTTGATCAAGGACCCTCTTCCTGAATTACAAAAAGTTGAAAGATTTCTAAATCTTCCTTCCAGAATTATGTCTTCGAATTTTTATTTTAACCAAACCAAGGGATTCTACTGCATTAGAAGTGATGGAAGGGAGAGATGTTTACATGAATCCAAAGGGCGTCCCCATCCTCTTGTTAATAACACTGTTTTAGAGCAACTGTATTCTTATTTCAGAGAGCACAATGCAAACTTTTACAGAATGGTTAACCATTCCTTTGACTGGCATTAATGCATTTGGAATCAATGTTTCTTTAAAGGGCCTGAAACTCTTTTAAATATATGTTTCTAAACTGTGGAGATTCGTATTACAAGATCTTAACATACTGGTTACACGCTTCAGTGGAATAGCACATCTGTTAAATTTTTGAAATGGTACCCTTTTCTTTGGGAAAAATAAGTATAATGTATTTGTATAATTACTGTGAGTCATATTCTGATCTTTTTCCCATCATGCAAATACATAAACTTCAGCAGACTTAATTAAAATACGTATCTATTACAGGATTTGTGCTCTTTTGGCAAAGTGACTGCTTCTAACAGTGTAAAAATGTAAATATTTGAGATGGTATTATTCTAACTGTTCTGTAATTTTTGTTGTGTTTTTTATATCACACATAATAATAGTGGCATTGATTTCTATAATTTTTCATACAAGAACTTAAATTGTATGTTAAAACAGAGACATATGTAGTAGCTCAAATAAGTATTTAATCCTCTGTTAGTATGCCAAAGTTCTTAATTAATAATAAAAGGAATCTATTTCACCTGTGATTTTAAATGAGAAACTAGAAGCTCCCTGTCTACATATCATTAGCATTAAACCACACTCTTACTATCTTGGGTTTGCAAAACAAATAGACAAACATACAATCTCCAAAGTGAAAATATGAACAGCTTGAAGAAGTGAGAGTTCTGAATTTAAAGAAATTAAAATATCCACAGCAACCTCAGTTTACATTATTACTCTAGATACTAAAAAAAATTAATGCAAAAAATATTAATATAATCAAATATTTGTACAGCTGCTGATATGATTTACATCTCTTTGCTCTTGAGTGGGAAAGCTCTTCATTAGAACTGCCATATTATTAATGTTTGTATTCTGTGACTAGTTATTCTGTTGCTCTCCTGGTGTTAGTTTACGTATCTCCATTGGCACATTCATTCTTGTTAAAAGAAAAAAAAATTATTTGCTTGCTCTCCAAGGCATGGAGGATTTTTGTCATTTCTAATGCACACAATGGGATGTTCTCAAAGTTACAATTACATCTTGCTGTACTGTATAACTCAGACACACTGTTCAATATGCCAAGTATGACATAGTCAGATTATACATAAACCCACATTCATCTATACCCCTGCATTAGGAATTTTTTTGGTTTTGTTTGATAGTGTTGTGCTGGCCTGTTCTCCTTTTTCATGTAAACGTTTTATTTTATATCAATACCAAAGAAGAAAATCAAGTCAAAATGTTAAATATGGTGCCAGATAGAACTACAAATGCAGATGTTCTTGTTTGGTGTACCTTAAAATCCAGAAAAAGCATTCACTATGTGCATTCCTCTTCAAGCTTCTCACGACACTTTATAGTGTGGGCACACTCTGAGCATTGCAGAATCAAACTTCACTTGCCCCTGGATAGGATCTTGAATCTGTTTCCTTCTGTCTAAACCATGGTAAAGCTTCAGGACTGTATGTTCCTAACACGGGATTCAATCTTCCACTTCACAGACTAAAATGCATGTATTGCAGTGCGCATTTTTAGGCTACTAAGAAGGGACTACTTAGATGTTAGGCAGGTAGCAGTAGTCCACTGAATCTGGACAGACTTAGATCCAGCCAGATTATGTGGAAATAGCCTTCATCAAATATTCCCTCAATAAAGGTAAAAATTAAAAATTAAAAAAAAAAACAATAAAAAAAAAATCTTATTTTTCATCTCTTCTGCTACTTGTATGTGTACATATGAGAGAAAATTACATTTGTCATTAGCATATCATTAACTTCTGAAATTATCTTTCTGAAGTATGGTTATTTACTTCATCTCTGATTTCTACAGAGGGACTAAATTGTTATTTACTTCCGCCTTTTCTGAGATTGCGGCTTCTTAGTCATTAATATGATCGTATCTGGGTACTACTCAATACTACAAAACTTTATGTTAATCAGGTGTGGAAATATTAATGTATTTCTTTCAAATCAGCCAAACAACAGGATGTTTATGCTGGTCTTACACCATCTCTACAAGGACATTGTACAGGCAAACTGTGATAATTACATCGTGTAGTCTAACAGTACCTTTTTAACCCCAAAAATTTCTGAACCCTGAATCTGCAGGGTGATTTTATACTGGATCAACACTTTGTATTTGGTGGGCACAACATTTTTATCTAATAAGAGAAGCCCCAAATCCAGAATCCCTATAATGTTTAACATAACCTGTCCTTTCTGACCAATGCAATTTCAGTGAATGAAATTCATTCCAGTCCCTTAATTTCAGAAATGCAGTATTGGAGGTAGCAGAACAACAGCAGTTTATATCATAGATTACAGCTTTTCTTCAGCATTGTTTTCTGTTTCTTACACATTCCAAAACTTCCCGTATTTTTGTTTTGCTCTTTTCAATACTGATTTCATTCAGTAGCATTGAATAAGGCTGGTGGCTTTTTCCTTTTTTTTTTTTTTCCTTTTTTTTCCTTTTTTTTTTTTTCAAAGATGATAATTTGAAAACCATGTATGCTTTAACAAAGGGCTTGGGTAGTTCCTAGTAATTGAAGAGTTCACTTGTCTTATGTGTCACGTTCAATTTCATAGGATTCCAAGGAAAAAAATATAAAATTTCTAATGTCTGTCTTTATTTATGCTTGCAGGCATCAAGTCTGTCTCTTCTCTGAAGTTTACAGCTAATCTTTAAATGAGTTGAGTGCTGGAACACCAGTTGGCAGAAGCTGCATGCATCTTTGAAAATGCAGGTCCCTTTCTGGAATTTGCATTTCAAGGAGAACTGCTCTGTATGGATTAGTGATGCATACATCTACTCTATTTGTTACCACTCTTCAGTTCTGCTGGGCATTTTTGGGAAGGACAGAGTTGATGGAATTAATTCAATTATCATTTTAGAATTTATTAATATCAAAATAAATATATTATGTATAGTATAATTTGGAAGAGGGATTAGTTATTTTGGCTTTTACATAAATCAAAATTCTAATCTGAAATTTTGTTTTGGTAAATGGTCTACAGAGATACAATTTAACCTCTGCATAACAGAATTCAATAAATATAGGAGACTATAATTTAACATTATAAACTGTTTCACTCAGTTTCTCATTTTATGGTGTTGAAAATATTATCTCATGCATTATTTCTGACCTTCTCCATTCTTATTGTCTTCAAAAAATTACCCGTATTTCCTTATCCTCAGAAGGTGGATCAGATAAACTTAATAGAAGATGCACTGAACCATACTTTAGTAATACCAAAATAAAAAGGTCTCCGTTTTTGGCACTTGGAATTCAAAACTAGTCAAATTTTGGAAATAACTGGAGGTTAACAGTCAGCTTAAAGATGTTATTAGCAAGACAGTTCTCAATTTAAGAGATTACAACTATCTCTTTTAAATTTCCACAATAGGTAGTAAACCATAAATTATTCTTCTCCAAATTGGTCATCAAAGGACTTTCACCTCATCTGATACTCAAGAGGTGTTCACAGAAATAAATTACATGTGGGAATGTTTCTCAGAGAGATCACGCAGCTGTTTTCAAGGTTGTTGGGAACATCTGAAACAATTGATATCGTCACATCTGTAAGACTACTGCAGAATTTATGATGATTTGAAGAGCTCTTTGATGTTGTTTTGTATTCAACAAATATTAAGCTTTCCTTTTAAATACTGTTCCTTTTTTATTAAAAAAAAATGACCTAATATCACTCAGAATTAGCAATATCAAGCAACTTTAACTGTGACTGGATCAATTTAGCCTTTGCCACAATAAGCAGCACACTCACATCTAATACCTAGGTGAGTCTAATATTAGATTTGGGCTTTTTTTATATGGGTTGCATATATCATCTATAGTACATAAAGAAAAAATATTAGGAAACTTAAGAGCTAGGGTTTTGCCCCTAAAAGCTCCTAGTACTTAAGTAATGGGAATAAAACAAAGAGGTTCCTCTGTTGCATTCACCCCCATTATTTTACCAGGAAGAGGACTGAATTTTTGCATTGTGTCCTCTGTATCTTACTGCTCAAAGGCCTTGGGATTACTTCTTTCATTTCAGAGCTTCACCTGAATAGAGCATTTAGAGTTCCTCTTCAATACCTGTTAGAGCAGAGACATTTTTTAAATATCCATAGGAGAACTTACGGAGAACTTTACAGAGGACATACAGTCGATACACACTATTGTACATTGCTACGCAACATCGACACCTTCAGTATCCTTTTGATACAAAGCCAATAGATAATCCTATGAAATGCATCAAAGGAAAATTAGACTGACTACTGTAGGGAAGTGCATCCACATAGAGAGTTTTTAGTCTTCATGCGCATTCCAAGAGTGCATCAAAAAGAACTTTAAAAATGTGGTTACTTCCAGCAGGTTTGACTGCTTATTAACTTTGTCAATTCAGATGCTTTCATAAATCGGACAAAAATGTTAGTACTGTCATAATCCCTATAATTTCTTTTTTAATCTAGTTGGCTAAAACCAAAAATATTAGTTATTCCTTTGCTTTATTGGAGAACAGTTAAAAAAAGAAAAAGAGCAAGACACACTCCCCAATACCTTGATTCTTACTAAAAGTTTCTTAGTAAGAGTTTCACAATAACAATACTAAAAATAACATGTCCTTGCAGAGAAGAGAACATTTAAATTGTTCAGGTAAAGATTATACTCCTGTAGATATTTTTTTCCTATACTTGTGGTTTTGATCCCTCAATGCCTTTAAAAGCTTGAATTCTATTGTAGAAGTGAAGAGACACATTGAAATTAAAATGTGTAATAATTTGCCTAGAACATTAATCGTTACCAGCAGTTAATGGCAAATATTTCATTACTGGCCACATATTTTCCACTTTGATTATTTCAAGCTTCAGTGACTCACTGAATTATTTTGCTATTTTATAAACCACATTCTGTGATTACAGAGGCATTGTCATGTCTTAAAGGTTAATTAACAATAACATGAACTTACCAAAATTCCTGGAAAATTTTCTGAAGCCAA